AACATAGGTAGGAATTAAGTTTCCAGTTAATTTGAGATTTTTTTGAGAAGAAATCAGCTAGCTATGGGAACAAAACACAGAGAGTGAAGCATTTATTTTGTGGAAAGACCCTGGCTTCACAGTGTTTCAAAGAATGTTTATTTTGGATATCTAAAACAACAGATTTCCTTGCAGGATAGGTTCACCAGGCTACTGGCTGACGGCACCATAATTTCTGTATTTAAAAAAATGTCTTATTATTTTAAGAAAAGACTACTTTTAAAGGTACTGCATGTAATTGACGCAGAATACAGACCACAATCACTCCCCAAATTTACACACATGGTGGAATTGACAGGCCTCCACTCTGTCTTCACATTTTGGACTACCATCAGGGTATTGCATCCATGTCCAGAAGGCCTCAGGTCCTTTCTAATAGATGTTAAAAGTTTTATAATTCACTAGAAGGCTGACCTGTTTTTATATGACATTTAAAGGCAGGAAAAAATTGTATAAATTCGTATTAAATTTTTTAAGAGTCACAAGGGTGTCAGAAGTTTATTTATTTGGATAAAACAGCTGGGACCTCAGCAGAGTAATAAATATGCTCTGCTGCTTTGTAAGTAAAATAAGGTAGCATTTTACGTGACACACAAACCAATGGATATGATTACAACACAGGTCAAAGTATGACTGTGACCCTGGCATAATAAACAACATCTTAAGGTTTTTCTTTGATGAATGGAAAAGTACTTTCCTCAGTCTGTGACACCAGGAGCTGCTATTCTATACAAATTCAACTGTAAAATTATTTTCATTACATATACTCTCCTCTGTGACAGAATCAACCCTTATAGATGTTCTCAATGAGCTAGGATAGATGAATCAGTGGACTTAGGGTTAAAATGTGAATTACAGTTGTTTCTATGGCTCCTGGGAGATTATGCTTTAAGTTGTCTATGAAAACCTCCATCCTGGCCAGATGGGAATTTGGTGTCACTGGAAAGATGGGACAAATACAATGAAGACAAAATCCTTAATTTCTCATCTCAGACACCAAAGCCTCACAAAGAACCTCTGGGGGGTGAATCATGGGGGGAATCTCCTCAGGTTCCAGCAAAAGTTTTCCAACTCCTTAAGACCAAACCTTTCCTCCTGGCTTCAGTCTCAATACCAGTGTTGACTCTGGCTTCAGTCTCAATACCAGGGTACTTTGGGAAAATTGCAGTTATCATTAAAAGACAAAGAAACATAAAAAAACCAACAAAAACAAAACATAAAACTTTGGCAATTGGGAAAATTGGGAGAAATAAACCCATTATTCTTCATATAAGTTTAAAACTGTGTCTCAAGGATTCACATGTTTTCATGGTTCTGCTCTGCATTTTGAGGCTGGTGAGAAGACATGGCTGCCTTGGTATAATGCCATCAGAATAAGCACATTATCCCTCTAGTCTCTGAGTCCCGAGGTGAGGACTCCTCAGAAATAGTCTCCAGAGGTGAGCTAAAAGCACCGAGGTTTCCATCACAGTAAAAGTCTGCTTTAATGAAATTACTTCACTTTCCAATATGTGATTTTATGTACTGTACCTGACGTAAATGATAGTAAATGTCCCCAGATTGAATCTAATTATGAGCAACTAGAGGGTAGGAAGAATTAGAACCACTCTATGACAAATTTAGGATCTTAGGTATTGAAATATAAATAAGTATATTAGCGGCTATATCTTAAATTGTAAGGAAATTTCTCTTTCACTGATACGAGGGTTTGTCATCTTAAAAATGAAAACATTTGTAGTGTTACCAATATATTGCAATGTGCTGAATTGAAAAGAATGCTTAGAGATCTCAGGGTTAAGATGTATAGTTAGGTAGACAGGCCATCTTTTACATATATAAATATGTAAAATATTTATATAAACTATATGTAAAAGATATATATATATGAATATGTATTTAATAGAATGTAACAAAAAATACATAGTATGTAAATACATAAAAACAAAAAGATAAATTATATTTGTATATTACATTATATGTAATAGATATATAGAAAAAACATGGTATATTTAATGAATTAGTGTTTAAAATTTTGATTGAATGTGGTTTGGTGGTTACAATAAAAAAGAGGATGACATTAAGAGTCTGTGTTTGAAACTAAAAATTATACATATTAAAATGCTTAAAAGCCAATAAATTTTTTAGAGCACTTTCTCTTATAGAGGAAAGTTTAACTGGGATAATAAGAAAAAGTCACAGATTAGGCAATCTGTAAGAAGTGTGGACTTATGGAAAAGAAAGGCAATTAAAATATAGTTTAACAGAAAAAGCACAGGAAGGAAGCAATCTCCTTTTCAGTAAAAGATGCATTTTTCAATCTATATATCTAGATACAGAAAGCTTGGAAATTCTGTGTTAAATGTTTCTTAAATTTCAAAAGGTGATTAAAAATATAAAACTGTGAAAATTGTTAACTTTATTCAAAAATGCATGTTTCTGCTTAATAGATTTAGTAGTCAAATTTCCCAGACATTAATAATAAGAGGTAAAAGTCATATGCATGACACAATTATTTCTTAATTCATTGCAGTTAAAGGAAATGTTGGTGAAATTAAACCATTTAGAGAATTTTGAAACTGAGTTATCATCTTTTCCATAAACTTGGGTAGAACAGACCCTTCTCTTTACCAGTAATTGAAAGCCACCACCTTCTAAAAAATCAGATCTTGGTGTTAGAATGCTTATGCCCCCAAATTAAAAGCCCCCTGAAATCAAACTCATCTATTAGATTAGTATATGAATGTAGAACAGTGCAATTTGGTTGTACAACCTGGGAAAATGCAGTTGTAGCCAACACTTGAGAAGCTCTGCCTCTGTCCTCTTGGCCACTGGCCTGCGATTCAGACCCTTGTGCTCACAGCATCTCATAGCATTGCCTTTTCTGTTTTCCACCCCGAAGCTTTTTGGAAGCCTCAGGAGCCCACTGGCCCACTGCAGCCCTTCACCTGGAAATGCAGAGGAGCCACTAGCTCTACCACAGTCCACCCTCAACCTAGGAAGCCTGACAGGTGGTGGTGTCTTGCTTCCCATTTTTTGGTAGACAGTTCTCACAATGTTCCCTGGAGAATTAAATCATTTTTCCCAGAGCGGTGACCCCAGTAGCATTCTTAGATTGGTTTCCTCCTTTCCCTGCTCTCCACTTCTGCTTCCTGGAATCACCTCCCAAATGAACTAACTGCACCCAGTCCTTGTTGCAGAGTCTGCTTTGAGGGGAACCCTAACAAAGAGACATAGCCCTTCATTGCACCTCATCTCAGCAATTCCATATAAGTAGAGAAATGTCTGAGATGCGAAGGCCCTTGGATTTTGGCTTGGGGTCAATTTGCCTCACTTCTACCTACATGAATGTTGGCAGGCAGAAGATATTTCACAAAATTCCAGAACTTCTTAACATCTATTTCCTCAGTAGTGTTTATTTGTGTTTGTTCAGCTTTGTTTGCATTCAATATATAGGTTTTGCATATTGTTTCATTGCTTATTTACATGTGGCTCAAATGTTGCAATGCAGAGAAAGTAGAATTAGTGTGCAGTATTGCCACAGCCAATGTGTACTGCATGCGAACTTATGTGCTGAGTTCATTGTGTTGAACAGGAGAATTGATTGTTTAAGTACATGTCTTCAGTGGAGGATTTATATGTGTTTAAGAGTGTTTAGTGAAATCTGTTAGAGATTCTATGTGGGCTAAGAGCAAATTATTATTTTTCCAGTTAAAAATAATGAAATATAAATTGTTACTATCTGAAAATTTTCTATTCAACACTTCTTGGGAACAGATCAAATATAAATGAGAGATTCCTACAGAGCTCACTACCTCTTATTATTGGAGGCTCCAATGTTTACCTAAAAGATACAAATAACTGAATATTTTAGCCACAGTGCCTTAGATAAATCCACAGCAAACACCCAGTTAAATTCAACACTTTTGTTTTCCTTCAGGAATCTTTACCAGGCCTTAAATAAAAGAGAATATGGCAAAGGATAAACCAACCTTACTAGATATAAATTAAATGGGAGAAAAAATAATTGTACAGATATATTTCAAATGTATCTTACATATTATATCATCTATACTTTATATAATATGCAATATAGAATTAATATATTAAGATAAAATAGAGTATAATAAAGAATTATATTTATAGAATTAAATGTTATACTTCTTTCTCACAATTAAGACATTTAAATGTTATTTTTAATTTGCCTCACTCTTTTGGCAAATATTTAATAATGATAGAAGTGTGTGTGGTATCATTTGGTTAAATGTGACATCCAAGTAAAAACGTATGTATTCACTTGTCTATGTACATTTGGATAATTTTAAATGTTTTGAATATACAAAAAAGAACTATCATACATATATGCATATATACTCATACATATATATTCATGCTTTCTGAGAGGGGGAGAGACAGTGTGAGAGAGAAAGAGCAGGACATTTTCCTGTTCCTGTACACTTTGAATGAAAATGATTCAAGTTTCCTTTGGCTTCATGTAATTTGGGTAAACATTTTGAAAGGATGTACTTTTTTTTGAAATCTAATTGTGAAAATATTTTAAGTCATGTTCAACCAAATTACTACTTTTAAATATTATTTCCAGATTCTTCGTGATTTAATTTTTATTTGGATACATGAATGTCCAAAAAAAGGAGAAGTGTTCTTAAAAATTGCTTCTAGCCACTTTAAGCAGAGGAAATCACAGAATTATAAGGCCTTCCCATCTCCCATGCTCCTTAAAACACCTCATAAAACAGTGTGATCTGATCTATAACTTACATTCAGTCTTCTAATGATCTCTGCAACCAAAACTCATTTATTATTTATTTTTTAATGAAATATTCAGATGGTCTGCCAATGTGCATGTTGGAAAAAAATAATTTATATTGGGCATTTAAAAAAATAAAAGAACTTAAAAAATAATCAACCTCTCTTTGATCTTGAATTGTCCTCAACTTCTCCAGGAGGAAGATGCAGAGCTGAGCTCGGACAGCACGTGGAGGCCCTGTGAGCCCGCACTTCTGGCAGCATGCTGGAAGCCCTACCACAGAGCAGCTATGGCAAGAATTAAGAGGACATCAAAACCGCAAACAAGCTACACTCCTGTGGATTTGGGGAGAAACAAGACACTTAAACATTCCTGTTATGGTTTCCTTGGAACCATCCATACCAACAACTCTGTAATACTATGGGTTTTCTGTTTTCTTAACCCTTCAGGGCATCCACTGAATGAAAACTTCCTTAAGGAAATATTTCAACCAACTAGGTGGACTGGAATAAATTAAGCTCCGTGGTGTATGGCCTTCTGACCCCTTCCCATAGCCCAAGGTGCTGGAGGGAGAGGGAGAGACGGTTCTATGTACAAATTCCACCTCGACTTCCATGGGAGTCTACTTGAGTTTTACTGATACTGTTTACAGGTGACTTGTGTGGAAAAAAGTAACAAACACATCAAGGAAATAAAAAGTTAAATTACCTTTGGAAGTCCCCATCAAATATGTTTAGTAAAGGCACTCAAACCAAAAAAGTTGTATGTAGTAGCACTGATGAAAATGACAGAAAACAGCTATCAGCCCTTAAATGATGCACATCTAAAAATAAGGGTTTAGGTAAAAATTTGGGGCCAATTCAATCTAATTTATAACTTCAAAGGAAATAATTCAAAGCAATCATCTCATTCAATTAGCTGAGAAAATGATACTCTTAGGAAAGGTTGGGATGGGAAAGAATATATATAAGGGATATTGCAGTCATTAATACTTTTGAAGTATATAATAATAATAAATGCAATTAAGAGGCTTAATTATTTGGCATGTGCTAAATAATTAGATTATAATAACTAATAATAATAGTAATAACTATAAGAATAATAATAGCAAGAAGATGCAGAAGAAATAGAAGAAAAAGTAATTTCTTCTAGAAATTTAAAATACTCAGAAGTATCAGTGATATAGCATCTGTGAGAATTTTTCTTTTTTGGAATTATTCATTAAAAGTGCAATATGATCTATAAAGATTATGTTTTTCTTAAATTATTATCATTCAGGAATACTGTGGAGCTAATGTAAATCAATAAAAATACAACTCACAAGTGCAATTGTTAATTTCTTCAGCCAAGACTAATAGTCCTTACCAATCATTATATAATTAATTTATTTAGATATCTGCTTAATTACTAAATTAAATTTTAAAAGCTGTCTCAATCTGTATTAAATAGCTGGTATTTGACAATCAACAAAATCAAAGAATTTGTTAGATGGGATCTTGATTTAAGAGAATTTGGAAGTAACTGGCTCAAATTATTTAAGTTTAAAATACACAATTTTATATAATTTTTCAGGGATAATTACAGGGTCATGAAATTTGTGTTTTCCATAAAGTTTGAGTACTATCAGTATTATTAATAATAATAATTAATGATTGTTAATAACAGTAATATTTCTTTACATCTGGAAACCTTGTTTAAAGAGGAAATTAACATTTTCAGGGAAATTTTCACTGAAAAAAAGTATTTACAGGCTAAATGATCTATATTATCAGAACACATAGTGTAATTAAGTCATTTCTGGTATATCCACCTTTTTCCCTCCTACCTGACATGAGAATTAAGATACTAGGACAGAGTGAACAAGTCAGGCACGAAACATCATAGCATTCTGTATCCACTTCTGACATAGCGTAAATTCATGGCAGATACTCTTTAAAACCCTTCAAGAATTCCCACTGCATAAAGGAGAGAGATTTCTAGGCGATGGTCCAGGTGTTACACTATATAAGCCAAAATACAGTTTGAAAGGGAAGGGAGAAATAAGAAATCACGAATGACACTAATGTAATAATGTTTTTCATGAAAATCAAGTTTAATCAGGAAGGTAACAACATACCTTTCTAGAAATCATGGATGTCTCTGTTACGATTGGCTAAGAAAAGCTTAAATTAAAGAAGTCACAATTATTTTCTCCTGAATCTTCCAAGGAGATGTATTCCCTATGAAATCTCAAAATGTGAGACAAGGTTGTCAAATAATTCAAGCGTGGTGTTTTATCCAAATGATCAGCAGCCTGCCCAAGTCCAAGAGAATAAAGAAATGGGAAAATACAGCAAAAGGGAAGAAGGTTGATGATTTCAACACTTAACTTTAAGCAGGTCTGCCCCACCAGCAAACAGCAAGCCCTACGCAAATCATGGCTCTTCTGGGAAACCGCACGGTGCCTGTTTGTGCTGTCGTTCCTGTTATCTT